AAAAAAAAAAAAAAAAAAACAATGTGCTAAATTTTACATTACGGTCATTTAGCAGTCAGACGATACAACAAAGTTGCAATATTGCCTATATGTGCAAATAGATGTTTCTTTGTTTGTTTCTTTTTTTTTTTTCCCCCTTCCTCTCTTTCTATCTCTTCTCCTTTCTGAAAGAGATAAGATGAAAAAAAAAAGAAAACATCCAATAAAAACTCAAAGGAAAAAGATAGATAGATAGATAGATAGAAAGAGTGACCAAAAGATATTAATCACACTCAACAGTAGTTGTGTCCCCCCACCCTCACCTCATCAACACTCTTACCTTTCTTCTTCTTCTTCCTCTTCTTCTCTTCTTCCCCGTACAGTTGTGTGCCCACACATTTACCGTTGTGCGAAGCCGAGTGCATCGATCATGCGCTCCAGCAGCAGTGAGAAGATCGCACCGCTAGCCACACCACCAACGAGTCCCGGTGCCTTATAATAACGCCAACCATAAGCCCCGCCAAGCAACGCCCCAGAGGCGGTTGGATTCCACATGTCTTTTCGCCCACGTCGCTTCTCCAGTGCCACCTCAATGCCGCCAAAGAGAAAGCCAAAGTATGCAAAACTGCAGCCGAGCTTTCCAGCAGCACGGATACTGTGACGGAAGAAGTCTGCTGTGCCCATTCGCTGTGTTGCCGTCTCGGCGGAAATCATCGCACCAAAGAGAGAAAAGCCAAAACCCATCACGTAACCACCCACAACGTTCATACCAGCTGTGGCCAGGGTACTGTCCTTCGCCAACATCATCGCCTTCTGCGCCGGATCCATCGGCGGCTGCTGCTCGAGAATTGTGGACATTTTTTTAAAGATTTATGTTTTTTTTTTTTTTTGTTTTGTTTCGTTTTTCTTTTCCTTGATGTATGCTCTTTTGCTAATCTCACAGAATCTCGTTTCCTTTTTTTTTTCTTTTCGTTTTTTTCTTTTTCTTGTTTTAGTAATGTTCCTTTCCTTTCCTTTTTTTTCTTTTCTTTCTTTTACGTGTTAAGCACCTCCCTCAGTTTTAACCCTGTAATGACGTCTGCAGGTTTGTGAATGGATTGCTTTACGGATTCTTTACCCTTTTTGTTTGTGTTTATATGTTTAAATAAACTTCTTCCCTCCGGTAAAGTGTGTTTTTTTCACTACTTTTCAACTTTATTTCTTATTATCACTGTTATATATATGTATATTCTTCTTTTCCTTTCACAGGTAAATTCACAGACACGCCGAAGAGGAAAATCCGCACTTAGGCTCTACTATTTTGATGGTCCTACTGTATGCGTGTTTACTTCGACTACATCAGTAACACAGTGGGTTAAAAAAAAAAAAGTACACAAAATAGAGAAAGGAGATACAAAAAAAAAAAAAGAAAAAAAAATGAATACCACTTGGATATATATCAAAATCATTTTTTAAAACTTTTGCCTTTTTTTTACTTTGATCTACGCGCGGTGCCACTACTACTATCCTCTTTCTTTCTCTTTCTCTTTCTCTCTCCCAACAATTCACAAGCAAACGCTAAATAAGCAAAGAGGTCCACTGTACCCCTTTATTTTTTTTTCACTTATATTTTCATTCACTTGCTTGTTTTAATTCTTCTGCTTGCACCGCAACACACTTTGCTGTCTGCAGTGGGATAAACTAGGTGCCACGTACATGCACCCCCTCTACCAAGTGTTTCTGCGTCACCATGAGCAACAGGTTCTTTACATTCATTCATAAGAGAGAGATACATATATACAGAGAGAAAGAGAGATCGATAGAGATAGAGAAAAATATCGGCTTCCACACCACAAACACTCCTTTTCTCTCACTCTCTCACAAATACACAATACACGCTCTTCACATATGTTTTTTTTTTGTTTTTCTTTTTCATTTCCTTCACATAACCACTTCCGGTCGTGATTCCAACACGGCGATACGCTGCTGTGACTCCTCTCCCTCCGCCTCCACTCCCCACATGGCGACAAATTGACTGTATCCCGACAGCAGACGTACACGTATGTATCGCACACCCTTCCCCGCACCGTTGGGGTCCAAATCGAGTTGTTCCACCTGCCGGGCACCGTCTGTGCTGCGGCGGAGTGTGCGGCGGGCGACGGACTCAAAGGAGGTGGGGAGGGCTGTGGAGCAGCGGCCAACATCAATCTCGCGGGCCTCGTGAAGAGTGAGGCGGAGACGGGTGAGATTCGCCGCGGCGGTGGTGCCAACAGTGAGAATGATATCCTGCGGGAATCCACCGGTTGTGAGGACAAATGTGTCGTTGGAGCCGTCAACGAGAGACGCTGGAGTCATGCGGGGATCGTCATTGTGGAAGGAGACATAAATAGGATCCAAACGCACAGGTGGCATCACAGTAAGAGATGGATATGTGTATATGTGTGTATCCTTGATGATCCCTCTTCTATCTATCTATCTATCTACCTACGGAGTACTGTTCCTCCCACAAAGATGCCAAATGGCTATTATTATAAATATATTTATAATTTTGGTGGGGGATGTATGTATGTATGTATGTGCAGGAAACTTCGGATTGCTGAATGCTGTTGCTGCTTTTTATTTTTTAATTTTTTTTCGGTACGGTTTTTGTTCTTGTTAGTAATTTTACTTACCACAAGGTTGCAAGAAAAAAAGCGAAATAATAAAAAAGAAAAAAACAGAGAGAAAAAAAGAAAAAAGGAATTACTCTTCACATGATTCATCCACTTCAAGAATATGGAAAAAAAAAAAAAAGAAGAATGGCCAGAAGAACCAAATAAAAAGACAAAAAAAAAAATGGACGAAAAGAAAAAATACAATTAAAAGAGCCAGGGAGACATGTATCCCTTCTTTTTTTTAACTCGTATCGAAATTCCCGTTGAAACTAGATAAATATATCTACAGAAGCACGCACACACACACATATATAAACTTTCACACACACAGACTCTCTCTCTCAACTTCCTTCTTTTTTTTTTTAAATTATTATTCCTTTCCTTCACATTCACTTCCTTCTTTTTCCTTTCTTTGCGCTTGTGCGTCTCGGGCCCAAATCAAACTCCCTCGTATACCGTACAATATCTTGAGTTGGACGATTAGGATTTTCTTCACCTCCACGCGGTGCCCACATGCTGCTGGCGGCTCCCCGTCTGCGCTCCTTCACCTCCCGCGTCTTCTCATCATGCCGCACTTCCCGCTGCACTTTACGAATTGTTTTGTTAAATACCTTCAGTGTGCCACTGTGAATATCATAGCGGCCCGACTGCTTCAGCGGTGTGGGATCACCCATGCGGCGGAGAAGATGTTCACGCTTCAGTTGTCGTCGCTGGAAGAGGGCAATGCGTTTATCCTTCGCCGCGTGCAGGGCACTGCCGTTTGCGTAGTCCACCGCCTCGCCGCGGGTCTCACGTTCCCACTGGGCACGTGCGCGGAGTTCCTTCTTCTCCTGCGAGACCTGCGAGAGACGATCGGCAAAGGCCATACCCGTGCGATTGTTGCGCAGATGATCATAAGTGTGTGAACCACCATTACTACCACTGTTGGTATTATTATTATTATTATTATTATTATTATTATTATTATTAATGTTGCTGTGGGTTTGAAGAAGTGCCGGTGTGGCATTCGCCGGACGCTTTCCACCAATACGTTCAAACTGCCGCCATGACTCTTCAATACGTTCTTCCATAGTCGCATTCTCTGCATGCAGGGCTGCTGTGCGTGCATATACATCTTGCAAGTCTTCGTTAAGTTTCTGGTGATGTACGAGAAGATCACGGTGATCATTTCGTTTCGCATCTTTACGTTGTTTGTAGGTTGAAACAAAGGCCTCATTCTCATGAAAGTGAATACCGCGATGTAATGAACGTGGACCGGGAATAGTACGGCGTCGCTTTACGAGTTCTCGCGTGGCCCGACTGTTCAGTGGTGGCATTGTGAATGGATAAGAGGAAAAAAAAAAAAAAAACTACGGCGGGAATGGACTTCCGCTCTTACTCCTCTTTCTAATATCTCTTCCTTCTTTTCTTTTTATGTACTAATCAAGCAAAGAGAGTGGAGGAGTTCAAACATGTAAACACAAAATTGGATGAAGAAGAGAAATGCACGATATATTAAGTTCAAGAGAGGGAAAAATACTTTCCTTCTACCCCATTTCTCTCTCTTCCGCCATATATATAGAACAAGATAGAATTCCAAGAAGGATCAATTAAGGAGATATCCACATCTCTTGATTCTGCAAGAGTTAGAAGAAACTCTTACCATTAATAACAACTCTTCCATAAAGTGCAACGCCGCGTCACACATAAGCAAAGAAAAAGGCACTACGGTATCATCAGTAAACTTCTTTTTCTTCTTTCCCATTTATTCTGCGTGGTTCATGCAACAACACATGCTCTAACCATGAGTTCATAGATGTACGATAACGGAAAATCTATTTAACCACCTGCAGAATTCTCATATAATGAAACAAAAGGAGTTGCTATGAAATTTAGCCTACTGTTGTCACTATTATAAATAAAAAAAACGGCATCAGTACCTTTTACTCCATCAAAGAATGAAAAGCTGGAAGAGAGTCAAGAAAAGAAAAATAAAAAAAAAGTAATAGAATAACAACTAATAAAGAGCTATAGAAAAAGATCTTGAAAGTCATTTCTGGTAAAAAAAAAAAAAAAAAACAAAAAATAAAAAAAAACAAAGAAACAAACAAATAATTAATCAATCAAGCCAATGCACGCATGAGGCAATAAATACCTCGGCAGATCCATTTGCGATAAATTTCCATCCCTTAATACTATCTTCTTTACTCCTCTTCTCACAACCGTGCCAATTGTATATTCACCTTCCTCTTCACATGTGCTGGAAGGGTATCATAAACGTCCCCTGGCTGACTGTACCCACCCATCCTGCCGATAGTATTAGGGCCATCCTCCTTTATAAGCCCCAACCAAGTTGCCAGTGAAGTTGCACCCCACGCAGTGAGTGCGAGGACTATCAACACAAATGTCATTGCCTGAAATATCACCCACCACGAGGAGGTGCCGGTTTTCTTATTGTGGACTTCACTCCACCCAATGTGACCAGGCGTGTTGCGGAATGTCTGCGGTGATTCGCAGATTGACATTAACGCGGCGGCATTTCCGTAAGGGGCAAATCCGTCAATGGTATGAAGTATTTCCATGTATAAATCTTCCTCATCAAGTCGGGTGGAGCTAATAGTCGTATGGGTACGTTTCTCTGATGATTCTGTGTTTGAATCCTCATGTAAATGATCCACTGAAGCCCCACGCCGCACAGCACGGAGAAAGCGAACATTTTCAATCACATTAGACGCTGCAGGAAGAAGAGGCATTTTTAATAGCGCCTTCTCCGCTTCCTCCTCCTCCCTATCATCATAATCGTCATCACTATTATTATTATTACTATGATTAGTAGTAGTATTGTTTTTCCTCTTGGCAGCTTGAAATGCCGTTGCAGCAGCCGTGCCAGAAGTCACATCACGCACGAGACTCGCCCAACTTGGATCAATGTGAAACTGCAACTTGAACATTAAATATCCACACACACTATGGTAGACATCATCATGCATGAGACGTTTAATCACCGCTATGGCTTCTTCCTCATCACCGTAAGCATCTCTCTTACTTGTTTTTAGTACTTTATATATTTCCTGAGCTACAGTGGCTTTTTGTGCGTATTTAAGATATGGATCTTTAATTCGACTCGCTTCTGGTTCTGTCTTATGCAATACATATCGATGATAAAACTCCCACCAGAGATCTAACACCGTTACAGCATCACCACTCGCAATAGAGTCTCCACTAGGTTTAAGTACTGACCACAGTGCTTCCGTAAGAACCTCAGGAACATCTTCCGCTTCCACTGGGAAGTTTGGTCCATCACGTACAAGTTGTCCTTTCTCTGTTGTTGTTTTCTCATCATTTTCATCCGAGTCTCGCCATAAAACGACAATATGTGATGCCACAGCTCCTGCCATGCCAGTATGATTTCTCTCTGTGGAAGTGTTGATTCTTTTCATGATCTTTTGTTTACCATGACGGAGGAGATATCGACTCATATCTCCCAATAATAATAATTTAGGATTTACAAACGGACAACTTTGGGCGAACTCCATGTAGAGAAGATACACATTATCACCTTTACTATTCTTATCCTCATGGCTATTGGCGTTATCGGGTGTTGGCAAAAGTGAGAGATGTACGGCGAGGTAACAGTTCACAGCAATCTCACTAGTGGCAAACGTTACACTTCCAATTCCCCGCTCGGTGTCAAAGAGAAAGTTCTGCACGGAACCGTAATGAGCAAAGAAGCCGCGGACGAATGCTGGAGAGAATTTCTCTTCTCCCCGCGGTGGGAATCCAGCAAATAGTATCTCTCGGTATATATTAGTGGTTTGTGAACCAGATACATATCGTGTAGCCATTCTTCAACCTCTGGAAATTCTAAACCATAGGAAGAAGAAAAGAAAAGAAAAGAAAAAAAAACTCATAAACAAGCAAAGCGAAAAAAAAAAAAAAAACACAGAAAGAAAAAAAAAAAATGATCAATAGAAAACCAAAAAAAAAAAGACAGAGATACAAATAAAAGTATACAAATCACAAACGGATGAATAGACATAAAAGCAAATATACTATGTCGCAATACTTTTCGCTCATAGAGATTGGACCAACCCATTAGAATTAGAATTGGCGGACTCTAAATCTTAACAACTAGTACACATTAGGGTCAATTTCTTTTGCATACCGCATTTCCTTCTCAAGATGCACCATTTCATCCCGTGTCCACTCATTCTCAATACGAAGAAGTTGCCGCACATGTTCGGCTCCTTCCATAATAGAAGGTGCTGACATCGCCACTTCCTGAATGCATTGCGCTAGATAAGCGGAAAGAAGACTCTGCAATGCTTGAACACGAAGGTAACAGGAACATTCAAGAAGTGGCATTAAAAAACCATAACTTTCCATTTCCTTTATAAATTCCATTTCCCACTTCTTAACGCAACTCTTCAATGGGATCGTCAGTGGTTTGGGTATTTCTTCGCTTCTTCTGTCGGGATTTAGTAAATATGTCGCAATACCCTTCACAACATATGCGGGGAAATCTAAATGGATGGGTGGCATTTCTGCTTGGTTGCCTTCATCGAGTTCTGCGAGACTCCGCAGCAGTCCAATCTCCTTCCACGCAATGGCAGCAGGCAAAGTAACAGTAACGCCATCGACGGAGTTAAGAATGATATCACAGGCAGACATGATCTTAACACAATCGTTTTATTTTTTTATTTTTTTTTATATATATACCTCCCCCACTTTGTAAATAAATAAATATTTATATGTGGGATCTATGCTTGTCACACCAGGACTTGGAAGCATATTGAGGATTACGTTAAAAGCATTGAAAAAAAAGAGGGAAAAAACACACAGATAGCAAAGAAGAAGAAGAAGAAAAAGAAAAATGAAAATATATAAGGAAACACACAGAGACACATGTAGAGAGCCACTGTTTAGACAAGGAAGTCAAATCTAATCAATCACAACACAAATAGACGACATAATATGGTATTGTGTACTGGGGATGAGAGTTGGAAACGCATGCACATTCTTCAGTCTTTTATGTGTAGGTTTTTATTTGCAGACCAATAGATTTCGTTGAGGTGATTCATTTTCTTTGTTTACTTCGTTGGCATTTGCTTTGCTTTGCTTTTTTTTTTTTGTTTCGTTTTTTCTCTTTTTTTTTTTGTTTTAACATTGTCGCACATAACAACGGAAGGAGGATCTCCCCCTTCCCCTCTTCTCTTCGTTTCCCTTCCCTCCTCTCTGGCGTCAATCCCACTGACACAAACACAAACAGAGGCATCTACGCACGTACAATTTTAGTTTACTTTTTTTTTTTTTTTGTATCTTTCTCTCTCTCTCTCTCTTTTTTTTTTTCCCCTCCATTCCCCCTTCTGGACACCTATTCGCCCATTAAATACCATCACCCCTCTGATATACACAGCATCACATCAATATATGGCTTACCGTCTGCAGCCAATAATAATAAAAACAAACAAACAAACAAACACACATATACACACACGTATGCAGGGAAAGTAGATCTTGGGGTGGTTATTCTCTCTGTCTCTCTCTCTTTTTTTTTTCTTTCTTTTTTTTTTAACTATGGCGCGATGGCCATAATTGCTTCCCTCATTCATTTTTTCTTTCGTTTTTTTTTTTTTTTTTCTTCTCTACAGTGTCGCTGTACGCCTTCCTATGTTTGTGTACCACTACTAAGAAGAAACACCATTCCAACAAGCAAACCACTCCCCTTTTCGCATCTTCTCTTGTGCTTTGTTCCTGCTCTATACCCTTTTTCTTTTTCTTTTCTTCTTATTATTTTTTTTTCAATATTCTATATGATTTTTTTGATGATAATCGATGATGAGGATAATAATGATAATGATAATGATAATGATGATGAAGTGAGGATGATAGAATAGCAGCACCACTGCTATTGCTTATGTCCCTTTCAGACATATTGGAGGATTCTTTTCCTTTTTTTATTTTCTTTCTTTCTTTTTCTTTGTTGTTGCTGTTAACGCCTTCTAACATTCTTCGTTAACAGGCCACTCGTTCTCAAGCTTCAGACAATCCATTTCTCGCCTCGTCCATTCATTTCGCTCATTAAAACAGCGACGAATGAGTTCAGCCGCTTCAAAGTGATCTTCTGAAGTGTAAATCGCTCGCAGCATAAAATCCGCACACCACGCCGTACACAAATTATATAGTGATGACACCTGCAGCCGCTCTGCTGCTCGTCTAACATCCATCAGCAGTGCCACCCGACTACCATCTGGAGGGATAACTCTCAAAACATTACAGAGATGAGGATCATGCAGAAAAGACTCTGGGTACGTGTAACTCATTTTAGAGTTATAAGGTTTACTTTCCATAGCGAGTACTTCTTCTGCATCTGCTTGACCGAGAATATCACGATAGAGAAACTCACGTTCCCATACGGATAATAAACTAACGAGAGGTACATCAAGAGGTTCGGGAATAGTGGACGGTTGTAGCCGTTCTTTTTGCCCTCCATCCGTGACAAAATGGCACATATATTCTACACATATTCGTGCCGCCTGTGAGGTAGGAAGAGGAGGAGCCGGTGGTGTTGTTACTGAAGTTAATGTGGAATTCTCATCTCCCACCACTATACCACTGACTGCTGTTCCTGCTATTGTTTTTGTGTTGGTTGAAACTGTATCACCTGCTGTTGTTGAGAATATATCTACACATACTTGACTGGTGCTGTTACTATTTTGCTGTATGGTTAGTCCATGCGGTGAGAGAGATCGTTGAGTTGTGAGATTCGTGTTGCTTGGACCCACAGCTTGTGTGGATGATGATGTCGTACAATGTGCCTTCTCTCCATCGGTGCTAGGTGATGGTAAACAGTTTTGCAAAACAATCACAATTTCTCTACCGTTAATATGTGCATACTGCTGTGGTGAACTTATAACTTCCTCAGAAGGATGACGAGGACCTAATCCAACACTACCACTACTCATACTACTTCCTCCTCTAACACCAGAACCAGGACCATCGTGTTCTAAATTCCCACCGCGTGCATTTGTTCGTTGTCGCCCAGCGTTAGGACTAATTTCTGAACATCTATTACTCAGTGGTCGAGATGCATTTGCTGTTATCTCCACAGCGGCACCAACACTGCTGGGGGACATTTTGTCTATAAGTTTCACATGCGGTGTGGTTTCATCACTACAGGAGGAGATGGTATTCCCACCAAGAAGAAGTCCTTCATCATCATCACCAATCATACAAGGAGTACGTTGGTGATAACTACTTGGAGAGACATGTTCTTCATTTGTAAGACTGGTCGGTGTAATTAACGCAGCAGCGGCAATCGCAGCCGTATCGGGATCAACAGGAATACGAACAGGCCATGTAAGACCATCATCATCATCATCATCATCACCTGGTTCAGGGGAATCAAGATATATAGTGGTAGATTCACGACAACGCACTACAGATGTAGCCTCACCGTTTCGATTGGACTCCGCATCTACTCCAACTTTATGATGACTTGTGTTTTCCTTTTCCTCCTTTTCTTTTACAGTCCCTTTCGTTGTTATTGTTATGGTTGTTGCCGTTGCAGCTACTGATGATGATGTAATCGTAGTAGTCGTAGTGGTGGTGTTGGCTGTTGTTTTTGGTGAGGACTGTTTCTCTGGATATGCCTGTGCGGTAGGTGCACATAAATCTGGCTGAGGTGGAGTTTCTGTGGAATTCATTAGTTGTTTCTGTGTAAAAGATAATTTCTCACGCGCCACAAAATCCTTTTCCTCTTCCTCTTCCTCTTCTTCATCCAGTGTACTTGGGGTGGCACTATCCTCCGCATTGCCGAGTACATCCCCATCGTCATTCCCTGGTGCTATCAGTCGCTCTGGGGTGGACCTGCCATTCTCGCCCTGATCTACACTCACAGAATGGTTGTAACTATTACCATTACTATTAACAATATTGTTATTCGTGCCTGTGGAGGTGGTGGAGGTGGAGGCATTCGCACTTCCCGGTCTGGATCGTCCTCTCTGTTTCTGTGTCTTTCCATATCCCCGCATCTGCGGCGGTGTGGACTCTGGCGTTGTACACGAAGAGGGTGTTCGACTGCTGTCGCCATCATCATCCTCATCATCATCGATAAGACTCGCCGTACGGTCCGTATCATCCGAGTGATATGCCGCAGCTACAGCCGCAAGAGTGATATCATTATCGCCTCTTATTACTATTCTAGTGCTACCACTGCTGCTGATAGTAGTAGCGGTGCTGCTGCTGCTGCTGGTGGTACTATTACTACTATTACTAGTACTACTACTTCTACTACTACGATCGCTGTTTATATGCCTCTTCTTCTTCTTTTTTTTCCTCGTGTGATTCTTCTTTTTCTTTTTATTATCCTCATCCTCATCTTCATCATTGTATCCAGTAGTACGACCGGGACTACGTCCAAGATGACATCTACTTCTTCTACAACTGCTGTTCTCATCATCCTGATCATCTTCATAAAAATCATCATCATCGGCTGTCTGTTGTGGAGTGCCATAACGTTCCACCCAGACATCAACAGCATGACGCACAACAGCAGAGAGAGTGGCGGCCTCTTTCGGCACTGGGATCATCGTGCCATCGTCCGTCTGCAGATAAATTACAACAGACATGATGTAACCATACACCAGTTTACACAGTCAAGGCCACAAGTTAAATGATATATATATATATATATATATATACCCCTGTGTGTGTGTGTGTTTACGCTTTTGTGTTTCTTTCTCTTTCTTTTTTCTTTTTTTTTTGATCGATTTCCCCTCGTCTTTTGTTTTACTGGATGTGGATCCTTTTTGTTTGTTGAGATGTTTCTGTCTCTTTTTTTTTTCTTATCTTCCTCTCCTCTCTCTCGAATGTTGTTGTTCTTCCCTTATTTTTTTTTTTTGCTCTGATGTTCGTGTGTTTTCTACACCCAAAGATTTCTCTTGTATTCTTTCACCCCTGACACCCACGCACAGTAGGCTACTCCCTCACTTTTTTCTTTTTTTTTCTTTCTTTTCTTTATTTCTATTCTCTTTTTTTTTCTTCAGTCAATTCAACTGTTTCTTTGTGCAAGGCCCTTATGGGCAGTACCTGAGAGATTAAACAAAATCGTAAAAAAAAAAAAAAAAGAGAGTAAGAAGAGAAAGAAAGATAGAAAAAGTCAAATAGAGAATGGAAAGTAATACATTAAACCATCTTCATTAGGTAAAGAGAGAAGGATTATCCTAGAATGAATATATATATATATATATATATATATATGAGTTTCTATATTACACTGTAGATTCTTTTTTTTTCTTTCTTTTCCTTTTATAAATTTACTCTTTAGCGTGACTCAAGCAGACTACGATGCCGCTTGGAATCGCCAACAACAAACCACTGCAAATCACCACGACGGCAATGAACTTCACCGCGTGCAAGTTTAACATATCGCTTCATCGCCATAATTGCCGTCCCATTATGGCTCTTATCATTCCCACTAATAGGAGCACAATTATTATTATTATTATTATTATTATTATTATTATTATTAGAAATATCAAGAGAATCAGTAGTAACATCAAATACGTTCAGTACCAGAGAAGCCAGTGGTACACGAAAGGCACTAGTATTCCGTGAAATAAAGGCATTCAACTGACGATTATATCGACTGTTATTACTGTTGTTATTACTACTATTATTATAAGTATTTGTGCGACGTTGTGATCTCCGTTCTTCCATGGTACTAGCGTCTGTGTGTACATCATAATCATAGTCATTAAACTCTCCATCTTCATAATACAAATCCCCATCATCATCATCGTAGTAATCATCATCATCATCATCGTCATTATCGTCATCATCATCATCATCATCATCATCACTGCAGCTATTTCGTCTCCGTCGACGAGTTCGTTGAACAGTAGACTTCTTTCCAGTACCTTCTCGCGGTGCTGCACTCATTGGATGCATACAAGCCAATCCAGTGAGTGTACCTACTAAGGCTGAACTATTATTATAAACTCCTTTACTTTCTTCATTATGTGGATAAGGATAAGGATGATGACTATTTGTACGGTTAACACTGTGTGGATCACACGGTGGATGTCCAGCACTACCGCAGCTGTAATTAAGATCTTCTTCAATGATGTGAAGAGGAACACTTGTGGAGGCAAAGGAGGCATCTCCCGCAGCAGCTGCACACCACTCCGTAAAGAGAACTTCCGCTATTAATGATAATGGTGGTTCTTGCACTTCTTGGATTGCTGCATCTACGGAGAAGAGAGATTCCACCGCATTTACACATTCCACACGCCCTATAGTATTTCCATCAACAACACTGCGTTGACGTAAAGCATGTAAAAAATCATTTAAAAAGGAATTATGTTTTTCATGTTGTTGTATTTGTCTATGGTAGCGTTGTTGTAAATGTAAAAGAAGACGTTGTCGTGTATGTAGTGATGGAGGTGTTCGTTGTGCTATCCACGGTGATGGAATAGACTCAAGATGTGGAAAGTTAAAGAGAGACTCTTGCATATCGGCATCAATATAAGAAAGAGAGGAAGTCTCCATACGATTGATGTTTGTCTTACTCTTACTATTCATATTCTCTGTTAACTGTGATTCCTGCGAGGGTGGGGCATCTACACAGAGGAGATGTACCCATTGTGGGAGAGTATTCCCTAATGCCACTCGTTGTTCTAATTGCAACAGTGAAGAAACTTCATCTTCTTCCTCTACTTCTTCTTTTACTGTGTTCTTCTTTTCATCTATTTCTTCTTCTTCCTTCTTGTGTTTCTTTAGTAGAGTTTCAACCGTGTCTGTGCCTTTTTGAATGCGGGCATCTAAGAGAGAAAAGAAGTGTTTAAGAAATTGTTGTGTCTTCACTTCCTTCTCAGCTTGAGTCATTTCGAATAAGTTATTGTAAAAACACACACACCCCACTAACTTCTTCTACCACTACTGTGGATAACATAAACTCACAGAGAAATAAAAAGAAAAAGAAAGAAGTAAAAGAAACATAGAGTTTACTTCTGTTTCCTTTTTTTTTTCACAGTGCGTATTGGACACTATGTACGTATACATGTATGTATGTATAAGAGAAACAAGGACAATGAACATCATATATATATATATATATATATATATATATACTGAGAGAAAGGAATATCAAGAAAAAAGAGAGTACTGTATCTACAGTTCCAGTCTAAGTGTAGGAGTATAATAAGGCAGTAGAACAGAAACCCCCACGAAAAAGAAAAATAAATAAATGTAGAGACAAGATATACAACTGTGATTTGAATACTCCACACACAAACATACAAACAGACTATTCAAGATGTTATTTTCAATCCCAACCCCATAAGGGAAACATACCCTTAACACTGTACATTCCAATATGCTCTTCTTCTTCACTTTCCATACTTGTTGTTGTTTCCTGCGACTGCAGTAAAAAAATCGCCTCGGATGAAGTCCCAAACGGATCATCTGTTTCTTCTATACGTGAGCCACTCCCAAATGGAAATGCCGCAACTGTAAGAATTGTACGTGTTTGACTATTATTATTATTATTATTATTATTATTATTATTATTATTATTATTATTTTCACTATGACTATCATAACTAGTGTTCATACTGGGACTACTATTACTATTACACGATGAGGGAAGGCGCCAGATAGATCCTTCTTCTTTTTCATTATATGTGTGTATGGAAATATCACGAAACCACGCTGGCCGCTGCCCACACTGTACAATATCCCACCACCGCTGTAAATAGATGCGATCATCACGAATTAACTCCACCACATCTTTTGTGGGTGTTGTCTTCGTCTCCAGCCACTGCAGTGGATCACTCGCCATGCGATCATCATCATACTCATACACCGGGGCAGGCACCATCCCACACCGTAACACACACGTCACCAACTCCCCATTATTATTATTATTATTATTATGATTATTATTATTCCACTTGTTGTTTAGCAATACACACGGGAGTTCCACCGCCACTCCCTCCGACGGGCGTACAACTCGAGTGACATCAAAGCGACCAAACCGCCGCCGCAGCGCAAACAAGATAAGATCCCCACGCTCCACCGGCGCCGTGAGCGGCACTGCGCCCTCCACAACTCCACACAATCCACCAGCGAGTTCGAGACTTCTCTCAACATCCACACCGTGCGGGAGCCGAACCCACAGCGGGTGCATCATGGATTCACTCGAAGTGCCTCTTGTGGAGATCGCAGCCGCGGAGGGATCGGTGGTCTCGCGGATGTTCACAAGTGCATAAACAGGCATTCGTCGCTCGTCAATGGCAATTGTTGCAGGCGATTCTCCACCACCACTAACACCATTATTATCACTATTATTATGAGTAATAGTAGTAGTAATATTAGTAGTATTAGGAGGAATAGCGGAAGATGATGAGACGGCGGCGTTGTGTGATTGTGTCTGCAGGAGTGAAAGTACTTCCCGCTCTCGTTCCGTACGTGTGGAAAGAAGTTGTTCACACATTCGTCGCAGAGTCATTTTATACCGCTTTTCCTGCAAAGCGGCTTCTCTCATCGTATTATTATTATTACTATTATTATTAACACTACTACTAGTAGTAGTACTCTCTGCTGTACAGTCGTCTATGACTTTGCGTATAAGCACATCTCGCAACGTTATGCGTGCGATAGTGTTGTGTGGATCGAACTCAAGCGCTGCGAGGGCTGTACGCATAACACTATCATGGGCACGCCGATAATTCACTTCCTCATTATTCTTATTCATATTATTATTATTATTATTATTATTATTATTATTATTATTGTCATGATGATTACTCTTCAAAGCACGCACCTTCTCATTCCAAAGCCGCCATGCAACATTCGCCAATTCATCTGCAGCCCCAGTGGCACACATCGCATTTCGTATACGTTCATGCAATGTTCCACCCGCTGTGTCAATCACCGCAGCCGGATTTCGCACCAATTCCATTAATTCATCTTTTTCTTTTTCTAACAGTTGTGGTTCACTACTGGGCTTCCACTGATGTCGCGATGCCCCAAGAAGAAACAAGTGCCGCACAATATCAACATTCCCGCCAATCACCGCAAACGGCAGTACACCCGCGCCAACAGTCAACGCCGGGCAACGAAGGGCCCTCGCATGGCGTTTCGATTGTATCTTCACATCATCACACGATATATTTGTTTTCTCTTCCTTTTCGTGTTCTTCGGTTTCTGTAAAATTCACCCGCAGACGTTTTTCTTCATGTATGGTTGATTTAGATTTAGATGGTGATAGTGATAGTGATGCTTTCTCCTGTGGGAGTCTATCTTCACCGTAGGCAGTTACCCAGGCGTTAAGAATTAGTCTAGCCGTGTTTGTGTATCCCAGTTTACACACCCAGTGCAATAACGGCACTCCGCCTGTTGCGATCTGCGGAGTTGTGGTGGTGAGAGCAGCGAAGAGAGAACTGCAGTTGTGTACATGTGAGAGTTCATACAATGTGAACAGAGAGGCGTGAAGGCTCATGTCATCACGCTCGACTAGAGTAGAAAGCGATACGGAAGAAAGGGTATCACTACAACTACTATCATTATTATTATTATTATTATTATTATTATTATTATTATTATTATTATTATTATTATTATTATTGTCGTTATTCTTCTCTTCTTCCTCCTTCTTGTCTGTATTGTAATGTGATTTGGCAATTCCTGTGTTCATTTCAAATGCCACTTCATCTTGAATCAATAAACACAGTTGAATCAATATAAATACACGAAATGAGTACATATCATTCCCAACCCGCACTGCCAGAGACTTCTCTTCTGTTTCACACACCGTAAAGAGTGCGGGATGTGTGCCCTTGTAGATCCATTCTTCTACACAAAGCCGTAATGTAGAGAGAGCACCATTCCAAACAGCATTACGGCAAACAGCAATCGCATGTGTCCAGAGTAAAGAATGTGTAGATGTGTGAAGATCACGAATCCCATCTTTACATAAATCACTACTAGTAGTTGTACGATTATTATTTTCTTCTTGTTCTTGTTGTTGTTTCTTCATATCCTCTCTCTCTGCTGGGAGGTGATGGACGGCGTAGAACTCAAGAAGAGTCCACAACGCATCTGTTCCCACCATGTTCTCTATACTCACCGCATAGCAAAGTGGACAATGCCCTAATCTACACATATGATAATGTTTTTCCTTGTTACTATCACCATGGACAAGTTTTTGAATCTTCCAAACCGCCTCTGCAAGTCCCTCAATGGCAGCCACTAATGATGGTTGACGCCAGAGTTCATGTATAGATGGAAATAACACTGAACAATTATCCTCTTCTTCTTGTTTTCCCTTATTATTATTATTATTATTATTATTACAAGTCAGTCCATTCACAACAGTGAGATGGATGGAGTCATGTCCACCTGCAATCCGTCGGGATATAAGGGCTGATGCGAAGTATTTAATAAATGAAAAGAATACTTTTCCCATCTCTATACCAGTGTTGCTCTTCCTCTTTGAGTGACTCTCTTCATTGTTAGTATTATTATTATTATGTGGGTACACTACGGATTCGTCTAGCAAATGACAGAGAAGTGTACTTGCGTGGGCCGTATTTTCCCACGATTCCTGTAGAAGAAGACGTTTAATCAACACGAAAACATCACCACCAACGGTATTCATTTATCTATTCACTACACTTCTCTATTTATTTCTCTTCACAAACCCAAACACACACACACACAGACAGACACAGACCAAGTGTATATGTAGTACTCAGGGGTGTTCTCTATGTATCTAATCTATCGTTATGGTAATAGAAAATCTGTACTCCTTTTGCGAGTTTATTTTCGTTATTTACTCTTTTTCTTTTTTTTCTTTCTTTCCTTCACGCTAAGCCGTTATTTGAAAGAACGGAGACGGCAAGTAAAAACAAACAAGTGGAAGAGAGAGAGAGAGTTTTTAGAAACATAGTTAAAAGGAAAAAAAAAAAAAACAGGTGATACACATATATACATATGTACCCAAAGAAAATGAACAGAAAAAAAGAAGAAAAGAAGAAATAGTAATAATAGTAATAATAAAAAAACTGTAACGATTACAGTGAAATTAAGAAAAAAAAAAAAACGCCTCGGATTAAATATTAAAAAGTCTTTGTTCCTTCACACAGACATACAAACACTCACAGGTGATACACCTACACACTCACATACACAAAGATAGACTCACATAAACACCCGTATTTCTCCCTTACTTTCAATCCCTTCATCCTAACTACAACCATTGATTCATTTATTCCTTTTTTCTCTATTTTTTTGCTTTTTTTTTTCTCTCTCTCCCTTGCTTTCTCTCTCTATCCATCCATCTATCCAAAAAAACAAAAAAAAAAAAACAAAACACTTCAACACATGTTCAACATTTCTGAATAGTTTTAACAATATAGATATTCTTATAGAGGTAAATAAGGGAGATCTACGTTCGGATAGTGCCTATGTATGTATGTATGTATGTATGTATGTATCTATGTATGTATGTAGGTATACATTTTTTTGTTTTTGCCTGTTTCCCCCTCTCCTTTTTTCTTCCTTTTAGAGGATTACGCAAACATCTGCACATGAGGCTGACGCTCTCTCTCCTTCAGTTGCAAATTCTCCAATTCCTCACGGAGTATCTCTGTTGTTAAGTGCCGTACCGCCGTTCCCAACAATGCCACTCGGCAGCAGGCACTGAAGGCCGCCGCACGAATAAGTTTAGCCGACACGGATGTGCTGCTGAGTTCATCAAAGTCAATACCACCATCGGCGACGGGTACTTTCTCTGGAATTGCACGGCGCCAAAGTTCACGGCGTAGTTGTTGTGTTGGCATGCGAAAACTAATTTGTTGTTGAAATACAAACGGCGAGGCCCGCATGTCCACACCGGCTGAACCTTCAGTTCCTGTCGTTACAATAAATATCACTGGTCGTGGGTATCGCATCGCATGATAGTGAATTAACTTTGCGGTGTGTCTTCCCTGATCGGAGTGATTAAATAATGCTTGAGCCTCATCAAATACAATAATAGCACCAAGTTTACGAGCTTCACTAAATACATGATGTACTTTTAATTCTTCCACTAATAACAACTCCGCCACATTACAGAGACGTATAGTAGAGGCACACTCATACGCAATACCTTCAGCAGCGAGACTCTTTCCAGTTCCACTAGGACCATGAAATAAATACATCGCCCCCTGATCTGCACAGTCTTCCTCATTAAATCCCCACTGCGAGAAGAGAGTACTTCTCCCTTTGGCAAGTCGCACAAGTGTCTCGAGTTGTTGTTGTGTTTGACGATCCACCACAAGATGGGAGAGAGAACGTTTGGGGGTAAAATAAGACTCTGTAGAGGCACCAGGGGGTTTCTCAGCCGCAAGAAAGAAACCACGCAGTTGTAATCGTGCACCTTCTTCCAAATCTCGCATGCAAAGTGTTGGTGTTGTGCTCTTTTCTCTCGCCACGGCATTATTAATAGCTGCAATCGTGGCATTACGAATTAATCCACCAGAGAGTTCATAATTTAAAGCCAACATTGGAATAGAAACATCTTCATGTAAGGCGAGATTACGTGGGAGATGGGCTTGCCAGATCTTTTCACGCATTTCCTGATCTGGTAAACGAAATTCCACCATTAATGAGATACGACGATTCATCGCCTCATCAATAACTTGAGCTTTATTCGTTGCGAGTATAATAAGACCATCATATTTTTCAAATTCTGTAAGAAGTGAAGTAACGAGTGGATTACGTTCACGACTTTCAAAGATAGATTCACACTCATCAAAGAATATAATCGCATCATTTAATTTAGCTTCACGAAAGATAAAACGTAACATCTCTGGTGCTTTATCATCACTTTTAAATTGCAGCATACTAACAAGAAGTATACGTTTGCCTAATTCATGTGCTACCGCATTAGCAAGCATTGTCTTTCCGGTTCCACTTGGGCCATAAAAGAGAAATACCAATCCGCTTGTACTTACCCCAAGTCCTTCTCCAAATCCACAGCTAGACTTACACTGCTCAAACATACTATAATGTTGAATCGTTGTAAGCACCAGTTCTTTCGTAGTCTTTGGAAGTACCACATTTAAGATGGGTACATCTGGCATATATAAACGAGATCCAGGCACCATCTCTGCCGTTTCAGTTTCTGTGCCCATTAAATGATCCACAATTTTACGATCCACATCCACAACATAATCCATTAAATCTGTATTAAAGCAGGTGCGTCCACCACCACTACCATCCAATGTAAGTGAGAGTATATTGTTAGCCACAAGAGGACTGGAACGGTAGAAAGAACTTCGGGCCGCTACACGTTCTTTTAAAGTATCACACAAGACAAATAAAATGTAACCAACTGTTAATAAACGTTGTCCATCTCGCATTACATATCGTCCATTTATGGCCACTAACATATCATGAGAAACAACATTACCAACCATTAAGAGCATAATGCGTTTTTCCAATTCAGAAAGATTTAATTTCTGTGAAAGTGCCTCAATACGTGGAATAAATTTTCCTTCTTTAAGTGTTGCTGCTGTACGAGCACGATGAATAGCTGTAGCTACACGTACTTTACCTCGTAATTCACGTATAGTTGCCTCCACTTTAGTCTTTGGTGAAAATAAAGGTTCTTCATCATCTTTCATATCACTTTCTGCCCCACGAAGACGAACAACATTTGCCAATAATTTAAAAGACTCATCCATATATTCAATATCATTCACATAGGGTACATAAATATTAGATGATCCTTGTGTATGAGAAGTTAATCCAGTTAAATTACCACTGGTTCCATTTGTAGTAGAGTTTTGTCTTTCTTCTTCATGATTAGATGGAAAAATTACTTGTAATCGTTCTCTTACAGCATTCTCTATAGCACTTTCATCTCCACTTTGCAGTACTGCTGGATCAATACCAAGTGATTCCAACTTGGGTGTACTAGCTCCACTACTGCCACTGCAGCTATTAGAATCTTCCTCATCCTCAGTCTTATGCGTATGTTTTACTCTATTAATGCTATCTTCTTCTTCTCCCTTTACTTTACCTCCTTCTCCTCCTGCCGTCACTATTACTGTTGTTGATGTTAATGAGGATGATGATGTTTTTGTTAGAACTGCTGCTGCTGCAGCTGCAATAGCTTCACGTTCTGCCAAAAGAACCTCTGAAAGGGCTGTCTTTTCCAATTTAATTAACTGCTCCTCTGAGAGATTATCACCAGAGAGTGCGGCGATGGTTTCCTGCGGTATGGCAAGTTTACTATCCATAAAACTGCTCTTATTCTTCACATCTGTAGTCACAACACCCTGTTTCATATGTTCACGGTAATCAGCGAGGAAATGCATGAGTTGAAATGAATTGAGTTCATTATGATAAGCGACGGCGGCTGGTGTGAGGGCCCCACCTCCACTGTAATTTAATGGCCAAAGTGAACCACAATGACAGACAAGTAAATAAATTAATGCTGTTAACTCATGTTGTTGTAAACGAAATTTCTGTGCCACACGTACAATACGTGGAGACATGCGCATCTTTTGTAGTCGAATTGTAATATGTTGTGTATACTGCGCTAACGCCGCGGCTTGACAGGGGCGGCATTGATGATAAATGTCTAATCTCGCTCCAGTAATCACCCGCTGCATTTGACCATTACCACTAAACATACCGCTGGTAAGTGTAACCCAATCACGCCAGACATACCGCATCTCATGCGCTGTAATGAATTCACTATCGTTTGCGAATGGAGGAAGCCGCGCCTCTGCCTCGCGTTGAATCTCAGCAAGCACGTCCTTCTCGTCAAGATCCGTATGCTCCTCAACGCGACGACGCTTTTCACCATCTTCATTATTACCATTATTATTATTATTATTATTATTATTATTATTATCATGATGATTGAGAACATCCATAGTCGTCTGATCAGCTGTAACAACTGGTAGTGTTGGTAAAAGAGAGACACGGTGCAGATAGGCACTAACAGAGTTGGGGAATGTAAAATCCCGAAGGATTTCATAACGATGATGTGGTGTCATATTTCCCTTTGACTCTTGTTCTTGTTCCTGTACGGTGATGTTTACTCTATCATCTGTTTTACTTCCATTTCTTTTATTATTACTGTTCTGTTTTCCATGAACTTCTTGATTAGTTTCTGAAATGGCGTTTGGATCACTTTCTGCAGTAGCAGATACCGGAAGTGAGAGATACCGTTGCAGCAGCGGGTTGAAGAGTTCAAAATAGGTGAGCTCCGTAGTATTATGTTCTCCAGTAGTAGTAGTATTAGTAATATTGGTAGTATTAATAGTAGTAGTAGTGATTGGAGTATTTTTACTAATGGACGGATTGCGTCCCCGCTTTTTTGGATGTGGAACCATTATAGAGTGTATTCAACGTGATACTGGGAGATCAAGGGAGTGAGAGAAATTTTACAATCTTCCAATATCGCTTTGTTTTATTTTTTTTTTCTTTCCTTCTAATACCCCCAAAAACAATAAAAAGAAGAGAAAAAAGAAAGAAAAGATTAAACCAAAGAGGATTAACACCATACATCTCTAAAAAGACGTCAAGAGGTGTCCATCAAAGTTTATTTTATTTTTATTTTTTTTTTAAGCAAAGAAAAATAAAAAGTAATTAACGCTTTTCTTTTATTCGGTATATCTATCTATCCATCTATATATATATATATATATATATATATATATATATATTACCGTGTACACTCCGCATCTGTATGCCCAGTGACACCACACCTTGAGCATGCCGTAGTTGCTAAGAACAAATCATCATCGTCAACACTGGGATGCACAACACCACGTACTTCCTCTTGTTCTTCTTCTTTAGTTATCGTTGTGGATGGATGAGATATTACTTCTTTTGCCTTGGAAGAGTCTTGTTTTTCTTTTCCTTCTTGTTGCCGCAAGTACTCCTCTGCCTTTTCACGTGCTGATAAAAAACATCCCGTTCTGTTTTCATTCCCAATAGTATCCTTCTCTGCATGAACTTCGTCCTTCACTACAGCAGCAGCAGCAGCAGCGGTGGGATAATCGTATTTTCCAATGAGTGGCTCTACACCAAATGTACACACCACACGCGATAGAGATAATTGGGCATCATACGGTAATTCATCCCATCGAATGGGTAATTGCGGTTGTGATGATTTCCCACTATTATTGTTATTGTTATTATTATTATTATTATTATTATTATTATTATTGTGATGCCATTGAAATAATTTGCGAATGTATACAAAAATAACACCCACATCCTCTGGTGCTAATAAAGTGGAGGTGTACACAAACCGCCAGAGAACATGACCATCCCGTTCATCACGCTCTACACTCACAACAGGGACAATAAGATCTACACTAGTGATCGTCGTACTAGGAGTGAGATCAGTCTTTGTATTAAGTTTAGACTCGGCTTCTTTTTCTTCTTTTTCTTTTTGTAGATTCTCTGCGGCGGTGTGATAGCACGACTTCCATACATCCGCACCAGACTCACCACGGCGAAGTGCTGCGAAGGCCTCGTGAAAGAAACGGCGGAAGAGAGAAGTGTACATGGAGAGAACAGCGACTGTCAACTCAAACCGCCGTCCACACACCACTACCTGCACTCGCTGCTGATCCTCCAACCCGGACGACATGATGTACTTGATAAAGGAATGAGAAAACATATAAGAAAGAGAAAATAATAATAATAATAATAATAATAATAATAATAATAATAATAATGAGATAAACAGATAGTCTGCTGAAATCCCATTTCCTTTAAATATACATAAATATAAGGAATAATTAATGATAGAAACGGATCCAAATAGCAAACACACAAATAAATAAATAAATAAATAAATAAATAAATAAATAAATAAATAAAAATAACCGAGAGAATTGCGCTTTTTTTGTTCCCTTTCTTCTATTTTTGTTGTTAAGAGAACCCAAGAAGGGGTAAATCAAGACAACACGTCGTTTTCCTTTACCTTTTTTTTTCCCCCCCCCACACCCACTCAATATTATAATATTAAATACAGGAGAAAACCTTATACCCGCGTATATATATAAATATATATATACCTAAAAAGGTACATTTACATAAATATATGATCCCTCTCACATATACATAATGATACTTCCCCTCTAATCGCATCAATGGTGAGCACTCCACTCTTCCCAACTGCCAGGGTATGTATTTATGGCTGTGTAGCCTTCCTGTTCCAACACCTCACGTGCCTTTTCTGCACGCATTCCCTTTAAACAGTACAATACAACTGGTTTGCTCTTTTCTGGCTTTTCACTGCCATACTTTTCTGCGAAAGCACTGTCTTTGAGATGCACGGCATCTGCGAGTTCATTCAACGGGACATTTACAGCTGTTGGGATCATTCCAGTGTCGGAGACCTCATCTTCGCCGCGTACATCAATAATGGGAATATGAGATTCACCGCTCTGATTTCGGTTCACCAGATCCACCATCTGATCATAGTTGAGTGGCATTTTTTCTTTTGTTGTTTATTTATTTATTTTTTTCTGATGTTTTTTTTTTTTTTTTGTTTGGTGTTCTTCTGGGGGCGTTGTTATTTATTTATTTATTTTATTTGAAGAAGTCCGGAAATATACGAAGCAGAAAAAAGAAAAGAAAGAAGTGTAGGGCAAATACAATCCTCCCCCCCAAAAAAGAGAGACTTTGTATGGGTATCGCCACTCTCATCTAGCAACAGGGTAGAAAAGCAAGAAAAAAACAAACAAACAAAATTAACTCAATACACACAGAAAAAAAAAAGTAATGGATAAACAAAAAAAAAAGAAGGAAAGAAAGAAATAGAAAAGTGCAAATGGGCATTCTTCCCCTATTTACAAGAGGAAAACAAGAAAAAAAAAAAGAATGCTTCTTAGTGCATATTTCCATGGTTTATTTTAACATTCGGATCTTTCTGTTTTAAACGTTTCATTCATTCATTTATTCATTCTATCTCTGTTTTCATTTTTTTTTCTTTTTCCTTTTCATTTCTTTGCATTCTCTGATTTCCTCGTCTTTCAAAAATGTTAAGGACGCAAGAACAATTCCTTTGCCAGATGTAATCCATTGCTGTTCGTAAAGATTGCGGCAGACACACAGGCATCAGGTGTCTGTTGCTCTTGTTGTTGTTGTTCAATAGCTTCTTTCTTTGAGAAACACTCCACGTGCTGAATCAAACGGTCAAGAACGAAGGGATCATCATCTGACTTACGTACGGATGGGGCCACTTCACACACTTCATCATCATCATCATCATCATCATCGCTGTTATTATTATTACTATTATTATTATTATTATTATTATTATTATTCTCATTAGCATCATGTTGATTACTGTTCTCTTCACCTGTAGGAAGAAACTCCTGGAGCTCTTCTTCTTCTTCTTCCTCTTCTTCTTCTCCTTTCTGTTGTTGTTGTTGTTGTTGTCTGTTAGCACTAGTAAGGGCGGCATTTCGGAATGTCTGTTGATGTCCAAAGACAACACATAACTCCTTTGCCCGTGTGAGAGCAACGTTAATGCGATGCCAATCTTCCATGAATCCCAACGTAACGGCATTATTGTTGGGTTTGCGATGAGCAATGTGTGGGGCTCGCACACAACTAATGAACACAACATCCCGCTCCTTTCCCTGAAAACTATCCACCGTGGCCACCATCAGTTCACTACTTCGCTCCTCACGCGTGAGTAACTGCACAATGGCGTCTCTCTGCGCCTGGTAGAATGTAATCACGCAGGCATGTTGGGCAAATTGATCGGGTGTGAGTTGCAGCAACGCCCGCAGTCGTCGCATTTGCATAACGATCGCCTCCGCCTCACGGCGATTCACCAGCGAGCGGCCGCGGCCCCACTCCATTCGTCCATCCGGCACATCCACAAACACAAATCGTGACAAACAAGAGGAATTCACCGGTAAACGCAGAAGCGGCGGTGTGGTTCCATACGGTCGTTGTAATACACTCGCATGTGTGTGGAGTTTCCCATCATAGAAGTAATTATTGGGAAAAGCACAGATATCGGGATGCATGCGGTATTGTGTACGCAACAGGTATGAACGGTATCCCTCATGTAAGAGACGCTGCAGTAAACTACGCTTCAATCCACGCCCCGCTGCGGTTTGACAGAGTACTGTTGGTTGTAGTTGTTTGGAATCCCCAACAAGTACGACCCGTCGTTTTGTTAACATTAATGCCTGGAGGACATCCGGCTCTGAACCTTGAGAGGCTTCATCTACAATCACCATATCAAAGAGAGTATCTATACGCTGAATTTGTGTTAGGGATCCTAATGTGGAACACACCACATGAGCTCCTCGCAACAGTTGATCACGCAATTGTTGTCGACCACTATTATTGTTACTATTACTATTACTACTACTACTATTATTACCAGATCCAGTAGAAGTAGTAGTGGTAGTAGTAGATTCATCACGGTTTCCATTACGTACCAAAAGTCCTGTTGGCACTGAGCGTGAGACAGAGGAAGCATCACTTAGCATAGAAATACAATCATCCAGAAATATAGGAGGAGAGGCAGCTAAAACCTCAGCATCTACACTTTCACGAACTCCAACACGAAGTAATTGTAATTCTCCCATTTGTGGTACTTTATTTAAAAGACTACGTACTCGTAAAAGTACTTCATCAACGGCACAATTGGATGGTGCACATACCAACAAACGTCGTCCTTGTTTTGGAAGGTAATGTAATAAATTAATTAAAAGAGCTGCAATCGTTTGTGTCTTTCCAGTACCAGGAGGACCTTCAATAATAAAAAGATCTGGTGCTTGTGGAAAATTAGTCATTTGAACATTACTTTTTTCCCATCCAGGGGCTGCAGCTGTGAGTACGGCAGCGATTGCACGCATTTGCCATTCATTAAGAGAACGATTTAATAATAAACTGCGATAGACCGTAGGCCAACGTTCACCTGTAAGTAATTCCCGCTCCAACACACGATGATAGGCACGAAACATTTTAGACGCTATGTGTGGTTGCAGCAGTGTGTTGGCAAATGCTTTTCTATGCATTTCGTGAATAGCAGTAACAGCCCCAAGAGAGGAACCAAGTGTGGTGAGACGTCTAATGTAAAAGTGTTCCCGTGAGTCTATAAGCGCCCGTAATGCATGTGAAAATGTAAACAACATGGGACCACTACTACTAGTACCACTATTACTATTATTATTACCACGACCAGTATTCGTATTAGTATAAGAAGATGAAGATATGGACGGCGTTGTAAATGTTGTGAGTGTTGCGGTGCGCTGCCAAGGCTGCAGAAAGGTTACAATACATAACTGTGGCACACATCCAAAGACACGCCAAACTTCAGGCAGTGCCGTATCATCTTTTCCATCAAGAAGATGCGGTAAAGCCGTGAGAACACGGTTAAGGGGTAATAACACAATCGCTACATCGCCTTCTGAAAGTGAAGCACTGAGGGGCACTCCTATTGCGGCAGCATTGAGAGATTTCGCTAATATACCAAATTGTAATTGTGTGGGATTAAGTGTATTGGTTACCACATCCCCTGCTGAGACCACCGCAGTCGTATTTGCCATCACCCATGTTGGAGTTGATGTTGATAGTGATGACAATCGATTATAACCACTATTATTGTTATTATTAGGATTATTGCTTGCCCCTGTTACGCGATGACGAAGGGATGATAATGTTGTCTGGTTATCATTATTACGTGTACTACGTAATGTATGTGTACGACATGCCTCCACCATCTCATCAAACTTCTGGTGCAATTCATACCTTAACTCCAAGGCAATATGAGGTAGAAATGAAGCCACATATTGTTTATGACCACCAGAAGTTAATGAAGGAAAACGTTGAGGAATTACAGGCAACTCCGTAGCTAGACAATTTCTACCATGACCAATAATATCATCCGTACGTGGTGAATGATGTAGTAAATCTGTACTACCAGCAACTTGTCGAATGGCTTCTGTAGATTTATTAAGATTTTCTGCATGTATGAATGCATTCACCCGTCGTTCTCCAAGTTGATGAAGATGCATTTGGTGAGCTGTAGGTTGTTTCTGTAAAACTGGTGGCTCTAAACGTACCTTCTGTTGTTCTCGAATACGTGATGAAACTGCACCTACTGCTGCTGCTACTGTTGTTGTTGATGATGATGATGATATCAGTTCGACTGGTGGTATCTGTGCAATCATAATAGGAGTCATATCTTCATGTGGTCGTTTGACTCCATTATTTATACGTCCAATAGACAAGAGAGATGATGTCTCTTCACTCTGTTGTTGTTGTTGTTGATGTATCAACTCTTGTTTTCGTGTTTCTATGTTTGCACGGCACATTTCAGCCTCTTGTTCACTACGTTTACGATCTCCCTCCTCCATCTGTTTCATTCGTTTTTCCTCAAGTTCATACTGCTGGAATCGACGATTCTGATCGGCCACACAATCTTCAATCTTCTGCCGTGCAGAACGAAGTATTTCTAATAGCCACGCAGGAGGATACTCCATTAATGTATTCCGACCCTCTACAGGTAATATTTGTAATACATCCACAAATGTTTTTAATAGGGCAGACCGAAATGACTGATCTTGTGAAGATCGTGTCGGTGGTGGAAGGGCACCAGCCACGTGAAGTACAGCTTGCGTAAAAGAAGATACAGAGTATAAGGAACACTTCTTCACAAGCACCAACATCAAATGTTGTGCACAACGACGAAGAGGTTCCTGGGCAAGGAAAGCACTCGAGTGATTGTGACTAACGACATTAGATGAAATATTCCCTGTAGACGCAGACAACGATGATGATGATGATGATGAGGATGATGACGCTGATGAAGATATTGTCCCTGTTGTTGTTGTTAGAGCTGTGGATGATGATGGTGTCTCTGTAAAAACAGGCTGGAGTTGAGTGATAACGAGATCTAAGAATTGATTCCGTAGCTCATTATCCAACACACAGACATCGGCGATAAGTGCACACAACCACCAAGACGCTGCAAGAGTTTCACGTGGTAAATTACTCCAATTGCATCCACACATAATATTAACCCACATGGCACCATTTGCACGAGCCAATGAATCCACTTTGGCATTCTGTAACTTTAATGGATTCTCACGAAGAATAGAATCGTAAAGAATAACATCTAGAAGCCAATTAGCCGCATCAGCTCGCAAAGTACCATGAACAACTGGAGTAAAAGAATGAAGAAAGAGTGCGGAGAGTATTTCTCCCAAGCGTCGAACGACAGCACCACTAGACATCATCAACACATGCGTTACTCGAGGAATTGTAGATCCACTAGAAAGTAGACGTGAAGCAGCTGCGGCAGCAGAATTATTATTATGATTATTATTATTATTCTCTGGCATAGTTTCCCATTGATGTCGCATTTCTTTCATAGAACCCCGTATACTTTCCGTTACTCGCTCTATGCATTTTCCCACCACCCACGCCAACGGTAGAGGTCCATCCTTAAGTGGTTTAAGGAACAGCCACCCATTTGCAGAGGGTTGAGCCATGATAACATCAAACAACTCCATTACATTCAATAATAACATTGGTGGGGAGTTAATACTTGTACTAACTGTTCGAAAAGAAATCTTTACAAGTAACTCCGGTATCGCTTCCCACGCAGAGCGAAGACATTCAGGTAAAGTTGAAGATGGATTACTACCAAATATCACCAAATCTGTGAGTAAAAAATGCCGTAGAAGTGATAAGGCGGCCTGTGGATGTTGTGAATTTAAAGCCACACCAATAGCTAGTGCCACACAGTCCTTCTGTTGTGTTCTGAGAAATTCATGATAATACACAGAACTAGCAAGAGCAGGAAGTGCGGTGGCTAGAGATGTTAATATAGCATTAAGGACTGACACGGCATTTTCCATAGTATGAAGTGTGGATGCATTAGAAGTACCTCCTCCAGTTATTCCTCGTACGGCGGCAGGTATATTTAGTTGTACAGATGCATTACGCATTAAAAACCGCAACATCCATCCTGCAGACTTTGCAGGTGGTGGTGATGATTTACTTTCACCTATTCTTCCTGTTGATGTTGATATTGTAGTAGTAGTTGTTGTTGTTCTTGTAGGAGTAGATGGTGGGGGATCTATGTGTGATGCCAAACAGTACAATTCACACATACGTCTACGACAGCATACATCCTCTGCCTTTGAAGTCATTCCTATACGTTTGGCGTTATCAAGAAGACAGTGAACGATGATCTTTACAAGAGCCCTACGTGTGTCATTAGCAATAGTGAGACTTTGTAATGTTGTTTCAGCTCCCAGTCGTAGATTAAGTGCCACTGTCAGTTTCTCTATCATCGCCATTGTAGCAGCAGTAGTAGTAGTAGTTGATGTTGTTCTTGTTTTAGTGGTTGAGAAGGTATGCTCCGCACTTGGTGATGAGGATACCAAGAGTCGAGATACGGTAGTAGAAACACTCAGAAACCAATCAAACAACATACTTCCACCCAAGAGAAGAATAGTGGCTGTAGAAACACCGTGAAAAAGTCGGGGATGTTGTTCCCCATGCGCTGCAGCCGCCTCCAACAACACCCGCTCAACCGCAGCGAGTTGAGTATCTATAGTACTCAAAACAGCAAAGAGACTGCAGAATCCATCGGCTATAACTCGTCTAGCGCCCTCCTCTTTTGCCTCCAGTGGAATACGTGTGATGTGTTTAATCGTACAGAGTAATTGCATGCTGAGAAGCCAAAGACTACGAGCAGCATTTTCATTTCCAGTAGCAGCATTATTACTTGTTGTTGTTGCTGCGGCTGCTGCTAGTGTTACGAGTCGTAGGAGTGTTTCTCGTGCCCACATACGCACTGCCTCATTTGGGTGAAATAATAACAACACCAGTGGGGCTCGGTATTGTGTGCTGCGTGCGGCTGCGAGAAGTTTCTCTGCTGTTGCTTGCGCCCTCGCAGACGCCGCCTGATGATTGCGTGCATTGCCGGCATGTCCATCACGCATCACATGACGTACGGCGTTGTGTAAAAGTGATGTGGATGCGTTGTTAATATGTGTTGATGTTGTTGTTGTTGTTGTTGTTGTTGTGTGTGATGGGAGAGGGAGTGTGAGCCAGTGAACCATAGCAGGGAGTTGACGCATGTGGAATGTGTGCATAGAGAGTCCTTCCTGTTGTTGTTGTTGTTGTTTCGGTTCATTTTTCTCTCCATTTCTCTCTTGTGGTTCGCTGTTATTATGAAAAGATGTGAGGAAGTGATGGACGCGGCCCGCGGATGTGTGCAGTCGGGCATCTGTCCATTCTAAGAGGAAGCGAACACACGTGATGGCCTCACCACTCACTAGAGAGGGAAACGCCACTGGGATTCCCTGCATCTCTCTCTCTCTCTCTCTCTCTCACACACACACACACTAGATGGAACTCTACTAATGGGTACTATAGTAATAATAGTAATAATAATAGTAATAATGATAATACTGTTGAGTGTTTCTTCTTTTTCTTCTTTGTGTTGTTTACCCTCTCACTTTCACTTTTTTTTTACTTTTCTTTAACTTTTTTTTCTTCTTCTTTTACTTTCTTTTACTTACTTCTCTTTTTTTTTTTTCTTCGTTTCGTTTTCCACCCCTTCACGTACACTACTCTTCACAGTGAAGGAGGCTTCAGGGATACACAGACAACCCCAACCCCCAACCACACGCACACACACACAAACCACCCACTACAGTAACTAAGTGCGTGTGTGTGTGTGTGTGCACTGAACACCAAACATGTAAACAAAAAATAAACAAACAAAGAAACAAACCACATAAAAAAGAGAAAAAATGAATGATCGCAAGAAAAAAAAAGGAAATATTTTTCTCCTTTATATATGTATAAAGGAAGAGTATTAATCAATGCTGTCATCATTATTATCATAATTATTTATAGATATTACAAATATATATATATATATATATATAATTTCCGTCTCGTTATTGCAGTTCCGTCGCCAGCGCTGCTCATCTCTCCCCATCTATCTATCCATCCAAATAAACACACAATAAACAAACAAACACTCCATCACAAAGCATACACACACATATATATATATATATATATATATATATATCGAAAGAGAGAGAGAGAGAGGGACTCATTACAATCATTCCTTCTCAACTCACTGGTATCTTATCCACAGCTCGACTATGAATCTTAAATGCTGGTGTTATCCACGCCCCACATGAACACTGGGAGCCAATCCACGACTGTGTTCCAATCTTCACACCGCAATTTTGATTTGGACAATAAATCGTATCCGGCGAAACATCCGCACCACCACTCGCGAGATGAACCGCACGACTTTCCTCTGCAACCCACAGCGACACATCGGGATCGAGAAAATAACTTGTGCACGCCTCATATCCGGATGCCGCTGTTAGTTCCTCCTGATATTGTTGTTGTTGAACTAAACCACGTTGTTTAAACCCTTTATTACCGCTGCTGTTGGGATCTGTGTCGTGTGGTAGAATCTCTTCATGTGAAAAGAGAACACGTCGACACTTGCGGCATGTGTACACGTATTTATCAGCAGCATTAGTGTCTACACCACTCTTTTGCTCCTGATCCATTGAGTACCCACTTTTCACTCCGCAAGAAGTTAAAGTATATAAGAACAAGAATAAAAAAAAAAAAAAAAA